GAAGTACCTGCTCGTACTCTCGGAGGCACACAAGCCCAAAGCGCCGCAGAGGAAGATCAATAGGAACGCTCTCGTGATCTTCCTTTTCGTGCTTCTCCTCGCCTTTGTCGCCTTTCTCCGATCTCCCGCTTGGAAACGCCTCCGTAACAAGTGGCTCGGCCGCTGACGCCTTCAGCTCGCAATACAAGTGCAGCCTCCACCGCAGTAGTTAACCTACTCCAACGAGCGGACCACACACGGACACACTCAACAGACCGACTCAGGTGCGCGGAGAGACAGTCGTCGGATACGGCCATACTGCGCAGAAAGCACCGCTTCCCATCCGAACAGCGAAGTTAAGCTGCGCCAGGCGGTGTTAGTACTGGGGTGGGCGACCACCCGGGAATCCACCGTGCCGTACCCTTTTGGCATTCCTTTTGGCATTCCTTTTGGCATTGCTTGTGCGCCTCTGCTTCTTCTCGCCTTCATTCTTTGCCCTAACTAACAGAACGATAACCACACGCTGCACTACGTACTTATGCGGGAGCACCCAGAGAATCCAGGCTGGGCGTGGGGCTGGCTGAGATGACGCCCTTGGGGAAGTACTTGGCGGCACAGTACTCGCCCACCTGGGGGTGGGCATGCTGCTTGATGTTGTTCGTCTATTAGCAGCTACACAGTGCGCATCACCAATTGGAGTTAAACGCCAGCTCGGACATAAAACCGTAAGAGGGTGTGGTGGAGTGCGCACGGTCCCTCCTGCCGTCGGGCTAGAGAAAGACCTTTCGACGACAGGCTAACAGTGAAGGCGAACTCGGTGCAGTGCATCTGGCCTCCGGATCTCGCATCCGCTGGCTCAGCACACTGCCCAGACCATCCGTATCGTCCGGCAAAAAGGGAAAGGGAGCCACGCACGGGTCACGGCTTTGTGCGAGCCCTAATAAAAAAGCTCAAAAAAGAGGTTCAATTCGTAAACGAAAAGCTCGGAAGCTTGGAGGATGAGGGCAGGGCGATCTCTGCTCGCGATCTCCTCAGTTCCCTCGAGCAGTAGATTTTGCGTTCCTTATCTGCGGCCTGCTTTCTTGGCGACCAGCGGCCCACTTCGCCCATACAGATTATCATTGATTGGCTCATCGGGCCTGCAACGATGCACAGCCTCCACGTTTGAGCGAAAGGGCGACGACTGGAGCTCAAAATCAAAGCAGAAAACAGATGGAGAGGGAGAGGAAGGTGGCCAGCTCAGCAAGCGTGCACGCGCCCTGCTGGCGTGGGAGCGAGAGCAATGGCATAAGCGGCAGGTACGGTTGGGCGCAGCCGCACAAAATCTCCTGATCTCGCTAATGGCGCCATCCATTCTTCAGAAAGAAAAAAAAAAAAAATGCGAGCTAAGCAAAACAAGATCTTCCGAATGACGCCCGTCGACTCCAAGGTACAGACTCGCCATTCATTTGCACCACACGTGGGCAGTCGCTCACACCACATGCTACCGGACCAGATACTCGACTACATCGACCGCCTCAAACTGGGCAGGAGGAAGGACGAGCCACCACCCGTCACCGACGGCAGGCGTAAGGAGCAGCTGGCCAAGGTCAGGACGGAGACCGATAAGGTGCGCACCGTCTCCATCGGGTGATGCTTACGATCGTCGACGATCCCTCTGCATTCATAACGCTGTGCGTGTGCGTGTGCGTGTGCGTGTGCGTGTGCGTGTGCGTGTGCGTGTGCGTGTGCGTGTGCGTGTGCTGCCAGTTGTGGGAGCGGAAGGTCACCTTCTTGGGCGGCGCTACTGCGAGGGAGTCCTTCCTGCCGGAAGACCTGCCCGAGATCGCGTTCATAGGTCCTGCTCGCTTCCCCCTCCCAGCCTTGTGGGCCACTAAGACTCGCTAACTCGAGACATTCACTGGTGATCTGCGCAGGAAGGAGCAATGTAGGGAAGTCATCCCTCATCAACGCCCTTACGGCTCAGGGAAAAGTGAGGTACTCGCGTGATACCGATCAAGGGTGGACTGCCTTCTTGTTCCTCGCCTGACGTGATTGGTCTGTGGCGTGCGCAGGGTGTCAGACACTCCCGGAGAGACGCAGCAAATCAATTGGTATCGCGTGGGCAAGCACCTGACGCTGATCGATCTCCCAGGGTAAGCCCTTCCCCCTTGCCACTTCCTTCCCTTGGGCTCTAGAGCTGTGTGGCCCTAACCAATCATGCTTTGCTCGTTTACACGCAGATACGGCTTCGCATTTGCCGCAGAAGAGAAAGTGAAGGCGTGGACGGAGCTGGTAACTTATCCATTC